CTCTCTCTCTCTCTCTCTCTCTCTCTCTCTCTCTCTCTCTCTTTGTCGGGATTCGTCGCGCGCGCCAGTCTTCGCGTGTCGGGATTCGCCGCGCGTGGCAGTCGGGAGCCTTCACGAAGAAGAAGAAGAAGAAGAAGAACAAGAAGAAGAAGAAAGAAAGACGAAGAAGAACAAGAAGAAAGAAAGACAACGAAGAAGAAGAAATGAGGACAAAGAAGTAAAAGAAGAAGATATGAGAAGAAGAAATGACGAAGAAGAAGAAGAAGAAAGATGAAGACAAAGTAGAAGAAGAAGATATGAGAAGAAGAAGAAAACGGAATGACAAAGAAGTAGAAGAAGGTGTGACAAAGAAGATGAAGAAGAAGAACGAGGAGGAGGAGGGAGAGGGGGTGCCGGTGCCCACACGGAAGCTCGCCCGAACGGGCAGCGAGGAGGTGCGGTCTCTCTCTCTCTCTCTCACACACACACACACACACACACACACACACACACACACACACACACACACACACACACACACGACGACGACGACGACGACGACCAACAAGAAGAAGAAGAAGAAGAAGAAGAAGAAGAAAAGGATGAATTACCTTGCGGGCTGCGGGAAGGCGATGGCGGGCTGCGGCAGGGCACGATGGCACGGAACAGCGGGGCCGACGAGCGAGTCAAAGCACACTTCGCCTGCTCGATTTCACGGGGGCATTCGGGATCTGCCCGCACGCGAAATCGCGCGGGGAAACAGTTTGAAATCGGGCGATTTCTGGCTGTCGATCTTCAAGATCGACGGCCAGAAATCGCCTGATTTCAAACTGCTCCCAACACCCGCTAGGTACCCAAATTTATTTTTTTTGGGCGGCGCAGGGTTCCGCAAGCCAGCTTCGACCCCCCAAAGCCCGAAATCGAAAAAAAAAAAAATGTTGCGGGTCGGCGCATTTCAGGCCCCGGGGCCCGACCAGGCGTTCCGACCGGCCGGTCACCTGTTTGTCAAACCGGGTGTGGCATCGGGGCCCAGGCGCCCGGGATTTCGCCCTAGCCTGAAAGCAGTTAAACTGCCATGCTTAGAGGCTTCCTTTTGCCGAAGTGGACTCCTCTCTGTGCGCCAAAAAAATATGAACTGGCATGGGCCCTTTTTTGGCTGGCGCTGCCAGCCAGTTTTTCTGATAGGCCGACCCCTGAAACTTGTGGGGTGTGCATGGCAGCATCGGAGAAAATGGCTGGGAAAAGCAATGGTGGTTGAAGGAAACAAACAGCAAACAGATATTGCCCTTGTCCACAATTCAGACATTCAGAGTTGCCAAAAACATCAGCAAGAGAGACGGGATAGCTCCTAGGGTAGGGAAGGGTACACCCTCTGAAATGTAATGGGCATGCGATGCGCATAATCCGCAGGAAACCAACATATGTCTGTGAAGGCAGGAAACCAACATATGTCTGTGTAGTATCCTTTTAGTTAGGATTGTTTCTTACAAACAGTTCCAATGGGCGCTTTATTAATTATAATTCTTATCCTTCAAGTCTCCATATTAGATCTGTCAGCTATTTTGTTTTGAGAAACTTAGGTATACCCTGGGGTAGGGAAGGGTATAGCCCAGGGTAACGTACACCCTAAGGTAGGGGAAGGGTATAGATAAGCGCACAGGACAGATCATCAGAGCTGCGATGCCACTCTGAGTGTCCAACCTCCTCACTGCTTGCTATGAAAACAGTTGAAAAGACAAACAAATGTGCGGCTTCCAGCACAACATAACAGTACAACCTGCTTGCCCAAGTTCAGTGCGCATGTATCCTCACGACTGTGGCCTACACTGCCGACAATGTCGAGCCAAAACTTGTAGAGACAATAAACAAGGAACAATGAGAATATGTCCTTTGGGACATCCATTGAAACTGGAATGATACAAACAAGATTAGCATAGCCTCTGCGCAAGGATAACATTCTCAAGTCGAAAGATGGTCAAAACTGAAAAAAGAAAGGGAAAGGAAATACGACAATAATCAATCAACTACAAGGGTGCCCGATACATGGTCCTAGACAGACTCTTTCCATCCCTGCCTCCTTCCCTCCCTCCCTCTTCGTCAGTGATCGTTGCATTGACCTGAGATCCAGACCTCTGGCCTTTTCTTCCTCCCATTGTTGTTTCTATTTTGGAATTCCTCTTTTTCTTATGCAAGAGCAGTACATAGGCTGACCATGACCAAGCATGCAATGCATCTATCTCATGCATTTCCTTATCTGCAGCACAGCAAGACATCCAGGTCATCAGATTGTTCTTGGATGGCCCAGATTAGGATAGGATATGGTTCATGGATGTGCTGGCAGGTACACGTGGACCCACTGTTGGATGCCATGACGGGCATGACTCTGCTTGCAGCGGGGGCGAAGACCCATGGCTCTTGTACCCTTACGGTGATGCATACAAGAGCCCTGCATCTATGCGTTACGGATGCTTATGGTGATGCAAGCTTCCAGGGGATGCAGCGGTGGCAAAGACACATGGCTGTTGAGACTCATATTACAGGTCTCCAACTTTCCACCCTTATGGTGTCACAGACGAATGGAAGGCCGGCACTAATCAGTCTTCTCCTTTAACTGGTTATGAGAGTTGCTGTGT